CGAGCGGAGAATCGTGTTTTCGCGGTACGAACGCAGCTGCCATCGAAGAGACGGAAAAATCGTACAAGGAAATGCGAGGAAATGCAAGTACAAAGATAAAGGATATCAGATTTGATTGACGATACGCGGGGATTCATACTTTATGCTTTGTGTCACGGCGAATAAAAATAACAATTAATATTTCGTGCGTCGCGTGAAAAATAAATACGCGATATTATTGTATAGAAAAAGGAAATAATAATAATAATAATAATAATAATAATAATAATAAAAAATAGAAAGAGATTCGTTCTTAACAAACTAAACGCGAGATTCGTGCGACGAGATGTAGAAAGGAGCGCGTGTTAACCTTCCTGTTGAGAATTACCTTCGCGTCAATGGAATATTTTTAATCACTTATCTCGGATGTTAACGGCGTCGTTCAATGAGCGAGCGAATTATTTTGAAAATAATCGAGTGAAGAAAGTTGGAGTTCGTTTCGCAAGGGAAATTGGATCGAATCGGCGTGAGAAAACTCGTGATCTCGTAACGTTGTTATCCAAGTAAAAACTTCAGTCTATAATATATTAAAAACCAATCATTTCCTGGAATATTTCGAATTCCGCCCCGTTCCCCCGAATCCATTTCACGATTTCGATCCAAATCACACCTCGATCCACGAAATACGAATAACGAGATATTATTTTTCGCGGGATGAAAGTTTCGGTTTGCAAAAGTTTTTTTGATCGTCGAACCGAGGTGACAGCTTATTTCCGCGTGAGAAGAAGGAACGACCGTCGAAAAACGACGACGACGACGACGACGACGACGATGATCGGTCGATTCTTTTTTCTTTCTTTTTTCTTAAACAGGCGTGTCCGTCTTCTCGTCCTTCTTCGCCTCCTTGACGTCGGTGCGCCCGTTCACGTATTCCGTGCTCGCGTGTATCGGATTCTCCTGGCCACCCTGCGGTATTTTCTCATCGATGATACGCGGGTCCTCGTCGTGATCCTCTTCGTCCTCGTCCCCAGGGGTGATGTGCGCCTCGCTTCCGGCGCCGACACCGCTCGCAGCTTCCTCGTCGCCCCGACGCCTCGCTGCAACAAGCAACGCCACGATCGGTCAAGGCAAAAGTGCGTGTGTGGATCTCTCTCTCTCTCTCTCTCTCTCCCCCCTCCCCTCTATTTTATTTTATTTTATTTTAGTTTTTTTTTTATGGTTTAATATCGTTTACCCTCGAGGACGAGGTTATTTTTTTTTTTTGTTTCGTTTCGTTTTATATTTAATATTTTTTTCTGTCGCGTTAGTGTCGTCCGTGTTTTCGTGTTGTTAATGTGTTTTTTTTTTTTTTTTTTTTTTGATTTCGATCGATTTTCATTAAGTGCGAGGGATTTGCAAACGCGCGAGCTACTTTGGCGATGGACTTTCCTTCGTGCGTTTCGGGATGACGTTAGATCAAATTAAAATTTTCTTCGTGTTAAGTAAGAAGGATTATTTAGAATTTTGGAAATTTATCGCGATGATTTTTGTTTTACGATTCCCTCGGCGGGGCGCGTGTTGCTCAGGCGTTTGCAAAATCGAAATCGATCTGATCGATTGTTAGAAACTGTGTTAATAATCATAAACATTCAAACAGGCAAGTCATCGCACTAATAATAATAAATATATAATCCAAGCAAGTGAATAAACGTGAGTAAGTAAACGTGATAAACTTTGAACACGTAATCATCTAATTGTCATCTAAGGTAACATCGAGAATCGTGATGGGAAAATTCAGAGGGAATTGAATTGAAAGAATAAAAAAAGGGAATCGATACGAGCATGCTTGTACGATCGTCATTTAATAATCGTGAGAAATAATAATATCGTGACATATATGTATATAATTAATCGTATTATTTCTAATCGGAAAGAAAGAGAAAATGTAATCCACATTTTGGTGGGATGCAAAATTGAAAGAAAGATAATTGAACGCATCGATGAAAGGGATCTGGTCTGGTTTTTCGATTCGAACAAATGTCACCACACTTGCCTTCGCCGATTGTCGTTGCTTGTCGCAAAGGAAATTCGCTCTTTTTTTTTTTTTTCTTTTTCTTTTTTTCGTTCGACCCCGATAGTCGTGAAATTTGGAGAAATCCCGCGGGGGATTTCTTGAACAACGTGTCGCTACAATCGTGGCCTGAGTCAGTGTTTTTCAAACAGCTTCGATTCTCTATTTAATCGCGAATGAACGATCTCTTTGCATTCGTGAATTAACAAGTATATAATGGTTTGGTCGAAGAATTGCATAATCGAAAATACTTTTTTTAATGGAAATTTTTCATTCTCTGTCGTAATTCTTTCCCTTTTTTTCTTCCTTAAATGGTATTTCTCTTTTTTCTTTTTCTTTTTCTTTTTTTTTTTTTTTTGATAGAAAGAAGAGAATTTGAAAAACACTGGGCGAATAATAATAGAGCATAAATTAGGCATGGTATTAGTACATGCTGTGAGACTAAGCACAATGTGCATGCACGAATGATCGAGATATGTATGCTCGTGATTGAATGAAACCAAATCTCATAATATTTAATATTTCACAATTATTCTCGATTCGTTCTCTCAATAATTTTTATCGAATTAAAATAATGCAGGTTTCCTTCTCTAACTAAATTTTATTATAAAGTGATAAAAAATGAAGAAAAATAAACTTAGGATCAAAAAACGATTATTGGAGAAAGAAAATATGCATTCTGGATTTATTTAAACGTTCTACTATTTGTACTAGGATTATTTTAATCTTGCCATTAGATAATCGATTGGTTGAATACAAATGATTAAAAAAAGGAAAAAAAAAAAAATAAAGAAAAAAGAAATATGAATATTCATCGTCAAAAATAAATGTGTTTGCTCAATCACAGGCCGATAAACGAATCGTTCCGAACAATGAAATTCCGACTTGTTCATTCGTCATGCGGTTATCGATTACACGCCAGATTTCTGATACGATTTTAATCGAACTTTGACTCTCCGCTAAATGTTATCCAGAAGTTTTTCTTTTCTCATTTTTTTCTTTCTTTCTTTTTTTTTTATTCATCGCAAACGAATGGAAAAAAAACGATAGAATCGATCGAGATCAATCGATAGAGTTCTCACTCATTTTCGAACGAACTTTAAAATAATTTCTATTTTTTTATTATTTTATAAAATTTACCATAACGATAATATATATATAGAACATTTCAGATTATATCGTAAATTTCAATATCACCAAATTCTTAAACTCTTCTCCACGGTCGTTTTACTCGATATTAAAATGTTCGTTTTCACATTTCGGGCAAATATCATTTCGCAACGCTTGAAATCATTCCTCCGAGATATTTTCGCATTCAAGAGATAAACGTTAGAACCGTTTTCTCACCGATTAGCCAAGACCAGGTGCACGATCGTAATATAAGAGATTGGCGAGGATTTTAAATTGAAAAAAAAAAAAAAAAAAAAAAAAAAAAAAGCAATCCCCCTTTTTTTCAACAAAGTATTATATTGCTCGTTTATCCTCGTTCCATCAACAGCTCGCCATTTCTCTCATATCCGTGATGCCCGATCATTTTCTTTTTTTTTTTTTTTTTTTTTTTTTTTTTTGCTGCCTGAGGTGACTTACCCCTGGACAGTGTCATGCCTAGAGTACGGAATCGCAAGGTAATTGTTGCTGTTTCTCCTTATTCTTTACTTGGCCCGACTTGCATGCTGTCCTATCGGTAGCGGCACAACACACAAGACATTTGTATACATACAAATATATAGATATGTAAAAAAAATAAGAGACATTTAAAATTTTACGATTTTAAGAGTACAGCTAGGAAATATCGTTCGCCATCTACGTACACGCACGACCACTCATTTTATCCGATTAAAAATCATCGTTATATGACGTTATATATAAGTTTCTTATTATGGATATCTTTTTTTCTTTTTTTTTTTTTTCAACGACAAAAGTATCTGTAAATATCCTATCCATCGATATAAAAATAACGCGAAATATCTTATGGCGTTATCTATAATTAGATACGGTAATCGAAAAAATTGATTGATTCTAATTGTAATTAATTCTCGTTCCTTTTTCTTTTTTTTTATTAATTCGTTCGTCTATTTCATTTATCCTATTTTCTCGTTTAATTTAATCGTGTAAATTGATCAAAGTGTAATAAAGTACACGAAAAATCGCCAAAAAAAAGGATGGGGGATATCGCGTTGGCACGTGTTCCAATTTTAGTGCGAATTAATTGGAAAAATGTGGCACTCACCTGCGAAGCACCAGCGTCCGGTCGCACGGGCAAAAATTAGTATGAAAACGATGAGAAGTAGCACCAGGGCACCGACCACGATTCCGATGATAGAACCAGCATCTAAATCGACGCCTGAAATTTCGTAGAAAGCCACATTGACGTTTTTTTCTTTTTCTTTCTTTCTTTCTTTTTTTTTTCTTGCAATTCATCCACATCGAATAAATATTGAATAAATATAATAAATACTCGATTATGCCCTCGATTATCAATTAAATAATTCTTCGCCGTGATTTTGTCTATCTTCAAATATCACGACGAAGAGGTATACGTACATTTATATAAAAATATTGGAAATATTGGGAAAAAAAGTCGAATCGAAAAGATATTGAATTAGAAATCATGCGCCAGTTATATATTTATTTAACACGAATGCAATAATGAATCTATCGTTGAAGAAATTAAGATAAGCTTTAGCGTTTTTCAAGATACGATTTTAATTAATCTTGAATATATGTATGATGGAAATCATAGGTGTCGCGGTGTCTTGTATCGATCTATGTTGAAAAAAATATTGAATCGGTAATTAATATAGGAAGCAGAGCCATGAATGCAGAACATATTTCTATGTAAGATAAAAAATATACACGTATATATGTATATATATATATATTATATATCGTAACAATAATCAACAAGCGATCGAAGCTTTTCATTTTTATAAAACATTTATAAAAGGGTTGACATTAAAAATTTTAGATTATTCTTTATGCAGAAACGCGTGCAAAGAAATCGGTGGCGCGAAAATCTGTGTTCAATATCGAAAAAAGCGTTGATTCACGTAGAGGCGATCGAGCAGAAATTTAGTCATGTTTATTCGAAAAATACAGATCTGCCATTCATGTTTGCAGTTCAATAACAAACGTCATATACACTCACACACATATGTATATATATATATATAATAGTATCTCGTAACGCGGAGTTCCATTTTGATTCTTTCGTGAATCTATCATTCGATTTTCGCGCGAATTCATGACACCGGTTTAAAAAATCTGGAAAAACGTATCCGGGATACGGTTTACGGGCGACTTTTTTTACGATCTTTGAACAAACAACGAGATAATACTTTGAGACAGATAACGTTTGGATATTTGACAAAATATATAGTATATACGTATAGAATATAGTATATACGTTTCGATTTTTCAAACCGGTCGAAAAGTATCGATATTTATTTAATTTCTTTCTTTTTGCTTCTTTTTTTTCTATTATTAAATAAATTTGAGAAAAAATTCGAGAAAGAAACAGGGATGAAAAATTGTTTTTCAATTTTTAAATTTTTACGGAACTCGGCGCGCGGAGAACTACATCGACTACTTACGTATAATAATTTGAAAGAATGACATTACCTAGTGCGTGCATGTGTTCGGAGAGCTTACCATAGAAGTGACCGAACGGCCCTGCGTGAGAGCATGCGGTGAAGGTAATCGATTATGATTAGAAATACATAGCGGATATGAGACGGGTGGAGATAAAACAATGAAAGAGAGAAAAGGGGGGGGGGGGAAGAGTGATAATAATAATTCTAATTCGTATATTCGGTGTAATCGCAATGACGGCCACCGCGTGATGGTATAATACGTGAAAGTGACAACGAGTATGACGTGAACCGATAGACAGGTGGTGAGTATGCTCGATCGGATGAAATGCTGGTGACGAACGCGCCAAGTGCGAAAACTAACAGCATGATCGACAGCTACCAATGAATTTCAAATCGGTCTTTATTCGTTCTCGTTATACGACGATATTCGATCATCGTTAATATCGACGTTATATACGCGAGTGTAAAAAATTAATTCTGTCGCTTTTTAACGTTTATTATAATATTATATTTTTATCTCTTTTTTTTTTTTTTTTTTTTTTTTTGAGATATATAATTCCATAAATGTTCTCTTTCGAAATTATTATCGTATCGCGAATGGAATTCTATTTCTATTTTTTTTTCTTTTTTTTCTTTCTACGATGTTTCGTTTTAACGGAAATAAAGTTGCTACTCTTGTGCACAGTGAGATCAAGCGAATTTTACGATTATATCGAATCGTAACCCGTAGGAGAGGGGTCTCGATAGCTTTACCTGCAGGTTCTGTGGCTGTCGACAAAATGATACGATATTCGTAAGCTCCTTCGCCGTTGCGGGCTTCCAGGATATATTCCTTCTCCGTGTCGGATTTTTGCACACTGTCGATCGTCAGGATTACGCTCCACGCTCCTCTTCCCTACAAGATTACGAATTCCTTTATATCGTTTAAAATTTCTTATCAAAGGAACCGCGCGTCTTTAACCCTTAAAAAGCCGATTATTATTCACCGTATATAAAAATTCTCAACGCGTTTCTGGATCAATGTGTTATTTGAACAGTTAAAAAAAGAAAATAAATAAATAAATAAATAAATAAATAAAAGAGAAGAATGAAAGAAAGAAAGAACAGGGGGGGAAAAAAAGTTTCACCGATATCAATTGCCTTTCCAATTGAAAATTGATTCGCATTCATCGATACCAGTTCGATTGCCAGTTCCCAGATGGCCTTTTGAGGGCTGTTCATGCTATGCTGTTCGCCAAGCGGTTTCGATCAGATCGTTTCGTCCTTTTATTGGTTTCTTCCGCAACGATGCTCATTTAGAGCCTTTCGCGGTATCGAACTTGTCGAGCATTGTTTCGAAATGTTTTCGACTTCGTTTTTCCAATGACCGGAGGTCAAGTGCTGTTCACGTTTAAGTGACACTTTGATTTCAATCTCTCGATATTCTACCTACATATATATATATATATAAATATATATATTCAATTTGAACGAATTTCACGAGCCGATATTTCCATGAATTTTAATTTAATTTGTGATATTTCGTTTCGCTTCGCAACGTTATTCTTCAATCCCATTATTATTTGTAATTCTTTCCCCTTGGATCAAGAGGTATCTCGAACTCTTTTATAAGAGAATTGTATTATCGATATTTTTTACGAAACTTTTTTTCTTTACGTAAAATTTAGATAGATATCTTATATCAAGTACTCAACGAATAATATAGAATAATTTTATTGTTCAAACGAAAGAGGAGGAGATTTCCAATTCTTCCGGAACATTTCTTCTCCCACTGTTTGTGCACAAAATAAGTTTCGATATAGCCGATGTATTATCACGGACGATTTCACCGAACGAATTGTAGCATCTGAGTGGAATTTCATTAAAGCTCTTTGATTAGAGAGAGGAACTTTGCGAGTCACGCGAATGCATAAAAACCACCTAAGTGCACAAGGTGAAAATCGATGCTCTGGAATGTAGAATCTTTGTTCCATTACCTTCGCTCTTTATTCTCCTTCATTTCGACCCTCCATCGTCGATCGTTCCGTTCTCCAATTTACTCTTTCCTTGTTTTTTTCTTTTTTCCCTTTTTTTTACAAGAAAACTCTCTCTCTCTCTCTCTCTATCAAATTATACGTTTCAATATTTATTTCATCGTACTTTTTCTATCGATAATTCAACCTCTGCCTTTTCAACGAATTAATTTTTCACGTTGTTTCCTTATTTTCGTTGGGAGTTTTTAATCACCATCGATGAAATTCAATATTAATTTATCATTCGAGTAGTTCGAGCACCGTTTGAATCAGCTAGAATTTTCATGGTCCAACGATCGATCTTTCTTAAGTAGAGGAATATTTTATTCATAAATATGAATTGAACGAGAAAGATTTTTAAGGTAATATACAGGTAAAATTTCTCGACTTATTTAATTGAACCACGGATATGATCAATCGTACGCGACGTATATAAATACGTAATATTTCTCGAAAGGCAATCGATCGTTATAACGATATTTTAAATATAAAATTTAAATCGTAAGAATTAATCGAACGAATTTACCAGATCCACAGCGGTCGAAGTTTCGAGTCGATTGCTTTCATCTGGACGTCCCTCGTTGATCATCTCATTGTTCACACGCCATAAAAAACGCGGCCTAGGATTTGCGTAAACGGTCACGTTCACGATTCCCTGCCGTCCAATTACGTATCCAAATCGTTCGATCGTTGACTGAGGTTGAGGAGGATCTAATAAAAACAATTTTCATCTCTTTTTTCATCTTTTTTTTCAAAAGTTCATAGGCGCGCGCGCGTAAAAAAAAGAATCATTCGTTACGTTTACTTCGTCTCGAGAATTAAAAAAAAAAAAAAAAAAAAAAAAAAA